GAATAACCCCCCTCCCTTTCCCCCGCCCCTTTCCCTCCCCACATAGTTCCCATATGGGGCATCTTTATCTTTATAAATTTCCTCAACACCTGTGTGAGTAGACCCCACCCTAGCTCTAAAGCAGGGTCCCAAATTCCCGGGGGGGGGGGCAAGGGTAAAAAGTGGATATGGGCACCCCTGGCTCCCTCTGAAGCAGGGGACAAAGCTTCCAGCAATGGCTCAGGGATCTGTGGGAAGAAGAAACAAAAGACAAAGTAAGAGACTCATCTGGGACATGACCACGTTCCACCATCATGGTCCATACCAAGGAAAACAGAAACAGCCCCTCTCCCACCTCTCCTGTGCTACCTGGTAGGGGTGGGCATTGCTGAGGGGTCTGAAAGTCCCATCGGGAAATCTCCACTCTAAAATGACATCCTCCCTTCAATTCTCCAGGAGCTCCACCTACTCTTTGTTCTAAGTCTCCCCCTTGCTCAGATTGTGGAAGTAGCTGGGCACCTGGGAGTGGGCATAGGTTGTGAGATGCTATTGTGATTAGGGGTGTAGTACCTGGCTCGAAGTTGAAGTCCAGTCCCTCGTCCCCATCCATGAGGTCACTGATGATGTTATCCATGTCACACTCCAGGTTCTCCAGATACATATCAAGATCGAGATCCTGAGGCATTCTGGCTTGGCTTGTAGCTTCAGTAGAGGGTGTGAGCACAGGAGTCCCCAGGGTCTTGGGGATGGGAACACCCGCCATGACTGGAGGCGGTGCTATCATTGGAAGGGGGGGAACCAGACTGCTGGGGCCTGGAGCCTCTGGGGGCTTGGGACACAGGCCAACTCCTGTGGCTAACTTACTGGAGGAAGGTATGCCCCCCAACAACAGAAGTGTGGGAGCCTGGGACAGAATGGGGTCTACCTGGGTCATGAGGACATCGGCAGGGGGTGGTGGTGTATCAGAGGTGAACAGGGCCTCCAGGGACTGGGAGCTTGAGAAGCACCCCTCTCCTGCTGATAGGGGCCCCTCTGCTGGGCTGAAGAGGGAGGTGCTGTAGGTATGTAAGGGGCCGGTAACCCCAGGATGCTGCAAAGAGAAGCCAGAGAGACTACTCCGAGAGAGCAGGGAATGGGAAGATGTTATATTGAGCCCATCTAACAGCTCTAGGTCTTCCTTTAGGGTGGGAGGGACACCCCCTGCATAGCTGCTGACCGAGGCTGGCATTTCCTCCGCAGCCAGCACCTCAGATTCTGGCCTCAGCGGGGAGAGCCGGGTGCTGACAGTGCTAGCATTTGAACTGCTTCGTGGACGGAAGGTGGTCCACACATCAGCTTCCTCGCGGTTTCGAGAGCAAGGGCTGCCTGACCACTTGGCAAAGTGGCCAACAGGGCTCGTCGGAGTGGCACCTTCAGGTGGAGCAGGCAGCACAGTTGGTTTCTTCTTGGGTGCTTTGCTGCGGCCCCGGAGCAGCTTGCTGCTGCTATCCATGGAGGCTGCCCTGCGGCGGGGTGCCTTGCCGCTCTTGCCACCCTCGGGGTTCAGCATCCACCAAGAGCTCTTGCCAGTAGCCTCATTGTGAACCTTGATGAACTTGCTGTGCAGGGACAGGTTGTGGCGGATGGAGTTCTGGAGAGGGCAGAGGCAGCAGGAAAGGGGCATGAGTGGTGTATAGGGGTGGTCAGTGGCCCACAGTCCAATCTAAAAGGATGCTGGGACACAGTGATATGGGGCATTCCTGGAGACTCAAAGCTAGTCAAATACAGGGGGAAAAGAGGCAAAGGTAGGGGTGGGGTTTGGGGAAGAGACCACATACAGTTCCTACCCGGAAGACAAGCTGCTCAGTCTCAGCTCCAGAATTCTCAGCACAGGGACACCAGAGACAAGCTAACAACCTACTGCAGAGGGCAGGGCACCCACCCTGGAAAAGCTCATAAAATTAAACTC